TAAATAGATACTTCGGTTGCTTCCACCAGAAAATGATGATGTTGAAAGTACTAATGAAGATAGTGATGATAATATTAATAAAATTAATAATAATAATGATAAGGTTAATGAAGAGAATGATAAAGAAGATAAAGAAAATGACAAAGAAGATGAAGGGGATGATAAAGAAGATAAAGAGGATAATAAAGAAGATAAAGAGGATGATAAAGAAAATGAAGATAATGATAAAAAGAATGATAAAGAGGATGAAGAGTATTATAAAGTGGATGAAGAGGATGATGAAGAGGATATAAATTATGATAATGTTAGTATTCAAAGTGTTGAAACAATAAAATCAACACAAATTCAATATGAAAATAATGGATCACCTTCAAATTCTCGATATTCAGCTTTTGTTGATATTACAAATACTATTTCAGGGGCTATAACTACAGGACATGAAATATTAAGAGAAGCTACTCGCTGAGATCTTCAAATTTATACTAATAAAATGGCAAATCAAATGAATAAAAAAAGGAAACGGCCAAATGAATATGCAATAGGAGATTTTGTAAGAATTGTAATTTCAAAGATAAATCGTGCTGGTGTTGATCGTCCTACACTCCCTTGTAAAATTATGGAAGTAACTGAGAATAACCAATATATTTTAGGATCAAAACATGGTATTATTAATATATATTATTCACCCGGAGAAATTGAATCTCTTGGTATAAAGGATTTTGCTGAACTCAATAATATACCTTCCAATAAAGTTTCTGTTAGAGAAGCTGCATATTTCCAAAGCACTGGTACAGTTACAGGAATTATTTGTAATTATAAAAGCAACTGTAATAGCAAGAAATGTCATTGCAAAAAATCAGGAAAAAATTGTGGAAGTAGGTGTCATAGTGAGCGCTTGTGTCAAAACAAATAATTTTTTATATTTGTATTACAATATAAATGTATTACAAAGTTAAATAAAGTATATTTGGTATATGCTGTTTATTGTTACACGTTAAATTAAAAATTGCGCCAAAAAAAAGTTTAAAAAAAAAATTTGCGTCAGACATAAGTCCGGTGACAACTAACGTATCTCATATTTCGATAGACAGGTTACGCACATCAGATGCCAATTGATAAATGAGGTGCGTCATCTGTCATCTGACGCAAAATGATAGATGACGCACAACATATATATTAAACCTATTCAACATCATTAAATCGAATACTATCCAATCAAAATTGATACATATGATATGTTACATAATAATTGTCATTTTGAAATTTTAGACTGATCTACATTTTTGATGAGTTTAGGTGTTATACATAATACAGGTCATCACTCACTTTCCTAACAATATCATTGAATAAAGTTAAGGCATTCCTGATGAATGCTTTCAAGAATACTTTTTTGTAAAATTATATATTAAAAGTAGAGATTGAAACCAGCTTTAGGTCAACCGGATCACCTATATTGAATCAGTTTCTGATTTGACATCCTGGATACTGATAGCCTTAATAAAATAAGCAGATTTCTGATGCTCGATGATTTTAAGAAATTAGTTAAAATCAATTAAATTGTTTATATAAATATTGACGAGTTGTAATTTGTTCAAAATTTAAATTATGAAGACATTCATGGGTAAATATTCTACTGAGATTTTAGTTGAATTTTTTTATTTAATTTTCAATTCGTTGCCAAATTTACTCTAAATATTAGTTTTCAATTATGAATTATAGGCCTTCCCTTTCAGACAATGATAATATAATTGTTACTTTAGTAATAAAGCTCACCACAAATTATTTTTGATGATAGCACAATAAAGGTATAGTTAAATAAACTTATGACCCAAAATAACCTGGATATCTGATTTATCAAATGACGTGAAAACCTAGGTAATGAATTAGGAGACAGTTCTAACCTTTAATTAAAAGACAATTATAATTTTTATACTTTTATAGCATGTATAAAGTTTTATTTTATAAAAAGATTTTTGAAGATAAAGCCACTGCAACAATGTATTTTCGGTAAAGTGAGCGAGTCGAATAAACTAGTAAACTTATTTTTTCGCCCAAGGTGTTTGACTTTTTCTTTTAGAATTGAGATTGGATCATACATATTTTGGATACATACAGAACGTAAAAAAAAACATGCGGACAAAAAAATTATTAAATTCACATTACCTGACCGTTTTATCACAGGAAAATCGTAATGACATACTTTATTATAAAATTTTTTCGTGATTTTTTGTTATTTGAAACTTGGTATTATTACATGTTTTAGAATTAAGCACAATATACGCAATTGATATCAGCATATTTTTATTTAAAAAGTGTAGATAGATGATATATATCTACAGATGGATTTTATACATTTAGCTATCATGGCTAGAGATTATCATGCAATTACTGGTAATTAATTATTATATTTAAACTTAATAAAAATTTATTATTTAAGCAACAAGTACTCCAGTAGAATGATTTTTTTCTGGTGGAGCTGATCTAGTTGCAGCTAAAGGTATTATCTTAAAGTAAATACAATTAGTGTATACATGTGTTTAAAATCCTGGGTAGGCATAAGGTTTTAAAATTAGTTAAGTATTAATTTTTTGAACGTTAACCTAGCAATGAATTTACAATTAAACAAAATTATACAATAAATATATTAAAAGATATTTTAATAATTTTAATAATTTTATAAAAAATAAATTCGTCTTTCAGCATTTATATTATACGTAAAACTCAAGTTATTCCAAGTTAAATTATAGTCAGGTTAGGTTTTGTAAATCGAGTTCGGGTTTCTCTGAAACCCGACCCTTTCGGAGTACTATTCACAATATTACTTTACTTATCAAATTTAATCAATATATAAAAAATAAATTATATTAAAATAAAGTAAAGAATCATTTGAACTATGCCTAGTTTTCTTTATGCTGCGCTTCACTGCGCGACCAATTAATGGATTCAATTTTGTATATTCGATTCAATCCCTACTTTCTCTATTAACCTTTCATAAAGCAACGAATCTGAATTCAATAGTTTCAGTTTTTTTTCTTCGAGTTTTCATCATTAAGTATATCAATACTAATAATTTAATAATTAGTATTAATGATTTATTTTCGTTGAAAACCTGTCGCCAACCTTTATATATATTTATTTACGATAAGGTTTTAAATTTATATGAACTAGGTATTTCAAAAAAATGGAAGAATTTTATTAATATCCTTAAAACATTACTCTTTTAGTTTAATTTTCTGTAAGATTAATGATTGATTATGTTTGAGCTTCCTATGTTATTTTATGACCGCATCTAAAAATTCGCGTTCTTTTAGTTCACAAAAAAGACTACTTGACAAATATGTTCGTTTATTTAGGTTATGAACTGATTTATACTACCTTTGGATCTATTGATTAATTATCAAAGTTTTAAAAAGATAAAATTAAATGAAAAAATGAAATAAATTTCATTATTATAACACAATTATAATAAGTCATGTCATGTTCACTTTTTTCAGTATTCCCACAGTGAGGGTGTTGAATATTCGATAAGAGCATTTGAAGTAAGAAATAAATCATTTATACTGCGACAATTTGTATAGTAATTATTAAAAAAAATTTCAAGAAGGAACAATGAATTTCTTAAAATTTTATTTTTTAAAAAAAAAGTTACAGCACCCAGTATTCCCACGTTGTCCCCAACCGTAGTACTGACTGGGCCATCAGTGGCTTAACTTCGGAGATCGGACGGGTTCCGGTGCTTTTCACTGTGTATGGCCGTAACTGATTAAATGCGGAAATAATATATACTTATAGTATATAGAAAAAGTTAATTTATAAATGTGTAAAAGAAAAAAAGAATAAGTTCATTTCGTAAAAAGAACTATCTAATTAAATATTTTTCAATTCTATCGAAAACTAAGAGGTAAACGAAGCATTTTTGTAACAAAATTTTCCTTCTAAAGGTCCTTAAAATATAATTAATCGCGGATGGATGACTGATATATAAATTAATTAATCCTGATGTTAAAAATTACTAATTTGACATGGTTCTTCCATCAGTTATGATGAGTTCTGTCCATTATAACAGCAGATTCGCCAGAATATGAGATTAACGGCGATCTATTTTGCTTCAGTCAAAGATCGAGAGTAACAATATATAGAAAACCGGTACGAATCGTTTGACCAGTACGGTACGGTTATGATTTTGGAGAAAGTAACGTGCTAACTTACACATAACATACATCGTTATACCTATTTGCGATAGATTATATAAAAATCTTTTTATTCTAATAATTAATTTTTTTTTGATTTTAAAAAAAGTAGAAATTGACATTTAAAAACAAGTGTTTACAACTTTTATTTTTTGACGAATACTATTGACGGGACCCGACCGACCCGATTTTAATTGGAATTTATTTATATTCAGTAGTCATGAGATTACAGTTGGATAGTTAAGCAATTCTCAATTAATTTTCTGATAATTGAGTCTGACAAAGATGTTCAATCCAAAAAAAAACGTGATCTCTCACTTTTCTTTGAAAAAAATTTTTTTTATCTTGCTCTTCTCTTCTTCCTCTATTCATTTTGATTTCATTCCTTCTCCTATAATTTCTCCCCGCCCTACATGTTCTAATAATCATCACCATCATTTCCATCATCTTCTTCTTTCTAAATATTTCATTATGATGAAGTAACAAACTCATTTGATATATGCGATCATTTCATGACTTGTTTTTATAGACAGTGTGTTGTCCTTTTTTTTAAAGGTTCCGTGGTTTACGTTAACGTTAACAGTTCATTGCGAATTTGTGCATAGATAGAAAAAAGGTTTAGGCCTTATAACTGATCTTCTTGTCGATTAAATAGGTCCCACATTATATTCCACCATATTTCTATTAAATTTATATTTACATGAAAACAAAAAAAATCATCTTAGCGCTCCTTAGCGTAGTTTTGATGGGCTCTTCGTTAAGTCGTATTTTAAAATACTTTGCACCTTTTTTGTCTTGTAGGTTTACTCACTAGTAAGCAGGCGGGAGTGTGATGACATATGGCAATTGTATCAATAACATCAGAGCATTAAGTTTTATTTCATCATCTAATTGATTTGGTTTTTCAAAAAAATTAAAATCAAAAATTAACTCATCTTCAGTTCCATCCCGACTGTTAGAAATACCACA